TTTTAGTGATCAAGATGTATGTATAGAATGAATTAAATGAAAGCAAACTAGACATACATTAAAGACATCTGCCGATAGATGCCCTAAAATCTTATAACTTATGTACACTAATTTTTTTGTGGTCTATTCGACATCCTTTCATGGGGTGATATAAAGTATTTAATCACCATTATAAATGATTTCTCACGTTATGTTATATTTATCTACTGCATGAAATGACTCAATCATTGGACTATCCAAAGATATACAATGATGAGATGGAAAGGTAGTTAGATAAATAAGTAAAAGTTGTGAGATCTCCCAAGATTGGTGAATATTATTGTAAGTTCAATGAAAGAGGATAATGTCCTAGTCCATTTGCAAAGTTTCTTGAGATTTGAAATATTTGTGTGCAATACACTATAACTGAGACTCCTCAACATAATGGTGTTGTTGAGAGGATAAATCGTATTTAAAAGGATATGGTTAGGAGTATGTTGAGTAATTCAACATTAACGTTTTCTGTGTGGACGTATGCATTAAAGACTACTGCATATTGGGTAAACAGAGTTCCTAAGACATCTTATGAACTGTGGACGGGTAGGAAACCTAGTTTGAGGCATCTTCATATTTGGGGGTGTCAAGCAGAAGTGAAAGCATATAATCAGTGGTTATTCATTGGCTATTCGAAAGGTTATAAAGGATATAAGTATTATAGCCCTAACCATAGTACGCGAATAGTTGATTCAGGCAATGCTTGGTTCATTGAAAATGATCAAATCAGTGGGAGTTTGAAATCGCAAAGTGTGGATGTCAAAGAAACTCGGGTTGGACAGTCCAAACCCGCGAGTCCAACAATGGTTGTTATTCTTCTAGTTATAGTACAATCATGTAACTTAGATGAATAACAAAATGATCCAAACTCACTTGATAATGAATCATCACAAGCAATCAAGAAATTATAGAACAACCTTTGGTTGATGAATGACAAACCATGAAAAGTGAAAATTCTGGAAAAGTTGGTCAATATCATGAAAGAAGAATTAAAGTCAATGGATGAAAATAAAATCTTGAATTCAATAGATTTACCAGAAGGGTCTAAAAGAGTTGGGTGTAAATGGGTTTTTCGATACCAAACACGACTCTAAAGGTAATATCGAAAGATATAAAGTTAGACTTGTTTCTAAAGGTTACACCAAAAAAGGAAGACATTGACTACAAGGAAACATTCTCTCTCGTTTCAAAAAAGATTCCTTGAGAATTATAATGATAATGGTGGCTCTGTATGATTTTGAGCTTTATCAAATGGACATAAAGATCACCTTCTAAAAGATAAACTTAAAAGGAGATCTACATGAACTTATTAAAAGTTTTTGAGATCACAAGAAATGAAACGTTAGTGTGTAAGTTGAATAGATTGATATATGGACTAAAACAAGCCTCTCGTCTATGGTATCTTAAGTTTAATGATATCATCGCTGCTTATGATTTTGTAGAGAATACCGTAGATCGGTATATCTACATTAAGGTCAGTGGGAGTAGATTTATTATTTTAGTTTCATATGTCTATGACATATTTATAGTTGCTAATAATGTGGACATGTTGCACGAAGTAAAGTATCATCTCTCTAAAAAATTATGAAATCAAGGATGTGGATGAAACGTCCTTGGTAATTGGAATAGAAATATTCTGGAATAGATCACAAGGACTAAAAGTTTATCCCATAAAAGTTTTACTCGAGAGTTTTGGAGATATTTACAATGGATGGTTGTTCCATAAGAATAATTCTAATTCATAAAAGGGGTACATTTAGTCTAAACTAAATGTCCGAAAAGGTGAAATGGAATGAAAAGTGATGGAGAAAAATTCCTTAGATACAAATGATTAGGAGTCTTAAGTGAGACGAACCTGTACTAGGTTTGATAACATATTTGTTGATGGTACATTAAAAAAATATATAAAAGTAATCCCTAAATGATTAATTAAATACTGCAAAGAAATTTTGTAAAGTATGTACAAGACATTAAAGAACACATGCTAACTTAAAGAAGATCCAAATTATTTCTTATAATTGGATACTCGGATTCAGACTTTTGCTCATAATGTCTAAAGGAGCAAGATTATGGAGAAGTGGAATAAAATCCATCATTGCGACTTCCACGATTAAGTTTGAGTTTGTGGTGTGCTTTGAGGCCACAATTCAAAATTTATGGCTACAAAATTTTATCTTAGGACTTGGAAATGTCGACACTTTGTCCAAGGCGCTAAGAAATTATTGTGGTTTTGTAGTAATAATATTTCAAGGAATGACAAGTATTCAAAGGACGTGAATCACATAAAATTGAAATACTTGGTCGTAAAATATAAGTGAAGAAACAAAGTGTGTCATTTGAGCATTTTAGTACTAATTGCATGAAAGCGGATCCACTAAAGAGTTATTCCCTATAGCCTTTGCAAGGCATATAAAGAAAAGTTAGAATAACGAATGAGGCCTTGTTGGACTGACCGATACTGAATGAAATTGCTCAATTAATGATTTTGACACTTATTGAATTCAATTAAAGATGTTTGGTTCTTCACATACAATATCATCATTATGGATATTTGATTTTATAGTATATACATAAATGTTGGATGACTTATGGTTATGGTACGAATAGTTTGTTCCATATTAAAGTAATGTTGAATTAGAAATGATTTGTGGTACATGGAAGGGATCAGTGTCGCTCGAAGACTTGTGACCGCCATGACTCGGTTAATTTCTAGTTTGATTTTAAACTTATAGATATATGTATTCAATCATAAGTTTGATGAAATGTGCGCGCTTAAAGTAGTTCTTTGGGTTTTATACTTATATGGTCCAAGTGGGAGAATGTAATAATATTTTTATATTATTCTATTATTGTGGACCATATAATTAATTGGACCTAATTGAATTAATAGTTAAACTTAATTAAGGTGAATATGTATTTAATGGATTATTAATGTTCTAATATTAAAGAGTCCAATTTGTGATGTTTGACTTGGATAGTAAGTTAGGTTAGAACATGAGGAATGTTAGTAGGATTAGAATTGTAACTCTCCTCCTCTTATATATATTACATGCCCCTCTCTCCCATCTCATACGAAAATAAAGTTTTCAACATTAAGGGCTTTGTGAAAAGAAGAGGGAAGCGGGAGAGATAACATAAACACACGATTGGCGCACGGCTTGGGATCGGGATTGACAGACTGCAAGATCAGACATACAAGAAAACATGAAAGGACTTATGGATTCTTGTAAGTTTCTATGTGCAATTTAATTTATGCAAAAGATCCATATTCTATGAATTGATAGAATTACATGTTTAGGGTTTATTCAATTCCACCTAATAGTTGTGAATATACCCGTTAAATTCTTACATTCCCCTCTTCCCCCAACGTGGATTTTCGGAGTCTAGATGTGGACCAAGGTTGCCACTTCATCAGATCTGTCTAGACGGTTCGAATGGCCGCAGTTTTTAGGTCTGAAGTTCCAGTTTGCTACTCTGTTGGGTCTTTGTGCTGAGGGGTGTGTCTCATGTGTTAGCTTGGGTGGTCGTGCGTGATGTGTGTAGGGGAGGTCTTTGTTTCTTTGTTCATTAGGTGTGTGTTTTTCTCTTTTTTTATTCTATTAGTCCAGCTTTGTCTAACCGGTCTGTACTCGAGTGAGGCATCTCAAACCGCCAGCCTGATCAGCGTGACTAATCTATCTCATGCAAATCTAGCATTGCATCTTAGAGTCTCTTACCCGACGAGCGGAAGCATCTTCATATCAACTCCTCGTGTGTAGAGGTCCAGAACCAAAAAACTCGACAACTTCTCTATCGGTGGCCAGTCGCGCAGGTCTACTACCAGTCTAAATCAATAATTTAAACTAACAATTAGTAAAGAATCTTTTTAAATTCATATATTTTATTAATTATTATAAAATAATTACAATTAACTATTTATTATATTAATTGTTACTATTTCTTAAATTTAATTAAATTATAGTAATGGTTTAATAGTAATTACCTATTAACTAATGCATATAGTAAATAAATATTTAATTCAAATATTTACATTATTAAAAGGTAATTATTTTTTTAAAGTTAGATGCATTATCTTATTAATAATTAATATTATTAAAAAGTATTATTATCATACTTTTAATATAATAACATTTAACTAATATATATAATATATTATAAGTAACATATTATTAATAACTACTAAACTAAAATTTATCTAAATTAACTTAAATCAAAAGATTAATTCAATTCTATTTTAAATATTTAAACATTTAAAATATTTAACCATATTTAAATAATTTCAATTATTAAATAAGTTTTAAAAAAATAGGTGGCCTGTCGGCGCTCGCGACCGAGCCAATGTGCGGCCGGCATCTCCGGCCGACCGCCCCCTCAGTCGGGCGGCTCATCGGTCGGCCGCGCAACATGAACTTTAATTTTTTTTTAAATTAATTTACTGATAAAAAAAAAAAAAATACCTGGGGAATCATGAGACCTTTTGTCTCAGCCTTGGGGACGATTTGCCATTTTTAATAAATTTTTTGGTGCAAAACTGATCGGAGGAAGTTGAGAAGGTTTTTGAATGTTTTTGAAAGAAAGTAAATTATTAGAGGTACAAAACAGTCCAATAAAGACGGTAGATAGTAATAGGATCACAGTGGATTATGGATAGCAATTAATTTTTATAAATTGGACATCAAGTGTGCAAGCTTCCAATTTAATGTCTCAAGATATATACAATTTCATTTTGACTTTATTAATTAGTGTCTCCACTCATGAGGTGACTTGAGAAAACATGGTTGAATCTGATCCAACTTTAACCTTGTACAACTTGCGAATTGTGTAGGTGATTATTTTAAGGACGTGGGCTTGCAGTTCTTCATTTCCGTCCGTGACATAATTTGTAAAAATTGGGAAAACATGTCTTAAGTTGGAAATTTTTTTTAAAAAAATTAAAATACATTGTATTTATTTTGTTATTAACAAACTATAAGTGCAATATTCCTTGCTGAAATAGTGTGTGAAATAGAGGTCACAATTTGTGATGGACTAAGATTGTGTTGGACTAAGATTTTGGATTTTGGGCCTAACAGACTTCACAGACTGCTCGGAGATTTTTCGTGGTATCTCAAAACCAAACAAATAATAAATATAAAAAAAAATCAACTCCAAAACCCTATGTGGATGACTAGAAAACCCCCAAATTGTGATAAATAAATTGCATTAGGGTTTCTATCGGAATTATCTCCTCGCAGCAGCTCGTTTTTCTATCCGTAAAGCGTTGCTTTCTGTGACTGGTGTTAGGGCTTGGGAGACAGAAGATGGAAGCTTCGAGTGCTGAATTTGCGGCGGGGGAGAGGCTTTTGAGCTCGGCGTTTGAGGTTCTTCTGCTTGAAACCTCAACTGCCCTGGCGAAGTCCCTTTTTTATTTTCTCCTCACGGTATAATGCTCTTTGTCATCTTTGCTAACTGTATGTGGCAAGTTATTCAAGATTACTTGACTTCGCTTGATTTGGGTATCCGTAACTGTAGCATTTTTTTTTTTTTATTATCATTATTTCGTTAGTGGTGTAGTTAGCTTCTACTTCTCTGTTGTCTTTGTAGTTTTCTTATGAACATCCGAATTTTGGGTTTATGGTTTCAATTGGAATTGCGATGTATGGACTTCACAGTTTTTTGTTTGTTCTGTTTTCAGCAATTTAGTCATTGCTGGTCCTAGTTCAATTTATTTTCATATTGTATTTTATGTTGTTAGCTATGCAATTATTACTTTTCTTGCAGGTATTCGCTTGCTGGTGTTTGATTATTTTCCTTTGCCATGTTGCTACTTTTTCTGCTCTTTTCCTCACTGTTTAGCCCTTCTCCTTGATTGTTTGCAGCTGGTTGTTGATGTTTAGAAAATATATGTTATATCATTAGATGGTCTGGCATCCCTTGATGTTGTTAAATTGGTGAACCGTGAGATTTGTTTTGTATTCTTGTTTGTGTTCCCATGGATACTAAATTCTCATGGTTGGTAGAATAAAGAGAAGTTAACTTATGAATTTACAGTACTGAGGATGTATACAAGTTACAGGTTTACTGTGTCATTTCAAGCTGTTGTTTCCATACTTTTTGTTTAATTTAGTGACGTTCATAAACATGGCGATTAGATCTGTTTTTGGGTTGGTACAATTAGGACTGATATATGTAGTTCTGAACTCGGAGTCACGTAGGAGGAAGCTACTTCTCTTTTTCCTTTTAATCCATTTCCAGACAATAATGACAAATCCTGTCTGGTATTGTTCAGATTGTTTATAGGCAAAGTCCTGTACCAAGTCATGTATTAGTCCTTCATTTTGGAGATAGTTGTTTGTACAGTTGCCATATTTTTTATATATAAATATAATTATAATTTTAGTTGTTTTATGCAGAAATCCAGACGATTTACTACTATACAGTTTCGTAAAATCTTCGGTGGTTAATCAAGAAGTGATTTGAGTGTGATTCTGTTGACATGTGCCTTAAAATGAATTTTTTACTAACCAAAGCCGAACTTCTTCTTTATCTGCTATTTCATTCAAGCAACCACAAAGTGTTATCCATCTACTTAAGTCACACATCACCAAAGAAATTCTCCTTTATTTTCCGTTTAGTTGATGCTGCAAAAACCGGCAGTTTAACGAGCATATTATTTATTACAGGCACAATCCATATGCAATGCTACTGAACTGCATCTCCCCAGAAACCCAATGGCTCCAGAGAGGTTTGTGCTATTTCCCCTTTTCGCAACATTTCGAAATTCCCCCCTTTAACATTGACTGAAAATCTTCTTTTCTGAAGGGTTTCATTAACCGAAGTCAACAAGGAGAATAAGTCTTCGGGACCCGAGAACAGAGATGGCAGTGAGGATGAAGACGAGGATGATGATGATGACGAGGCTGAAGGCGAGCCGGATGACGAGGATGATGGTGGAGATGAAGATGACGAGGATGGAGGTGATGGGGATGATGGTGACCCGGAAGATAATCCCGAGGCCAATGGAGATGCCGGAAGTGGTGACGAGGATGATGACGAGGATGATGATGAGGATGATGACGAGGACGATGATGAGAATGATGACGAGGATGATGAGGAAGAAGAAGAGGACGATGAGGATGAGGAGGTCCCACAACCACCGACCAAGAGGAGGAAATAAAAATGAAACATGTTTTTTCCAATTATGGCATGTCCTTTTGTTTATTTTGTACTTTTTTTTCTTCTGTGTTTGACAAGGGTATGAATAGGATTGAGGAGGATAATGGTGGTCTTGTGTCCATGACAAGTCTTAGTATGCTAATATCTGTGACATTTGAGTTTATTGTCTCTCATATTGACCTTATCTAAATATACCCCAGTTACCGTTTATTTCTTTTGGATGTTTAGATGCCTTGTGTTAGATTTTCGGTGCGGATGTTTCATATAGTCCGTCTAAAATGGAGGCTTCAGAAAAAGTCGTGCAACTTGTGAATTTTTGGTTAATTTGTTGGTGTATTTGTTTGATGATTTTTGATAAAGATGTTCTATGGCTGCCTCTCCTCTCGTGGCTCCTTGTGCTGTGTGTGTCCTTTGTCGATAACCTTTGAGAGCCAATTTGCTTTTTGATAAAATGTTAGTATGATATGCGGATAGTTCAAATATAACATATAACCATTTTAACTAAGGGATATATTTGTTTAGAAGTCCTTAGAATTTCACTTTCTAAACTTAGAATAAGTCATCTCAATTATGATACTTTGAGTATAAAATTATTATTATTATTATTAATATTATTTTACTTCAACATTAGAGTGTGTACGCCGAGGCTCACCCACATGTTATTTTGCAGGTGAGACGGTTCAACTGAAAATCTTGGTGAGACGATATTTCAGGCTCATCAAATTAACCAAAAGGAAAATAAAAATAAAAATCAGTGCATTTATAAAACAATAATTAACAACTTGAATTTCCAATAATTATATAAAATAAAAGCATATAAATGAGAAAAGTGAAATCATCCAATCTTCATCTAGTGTTGGTCCGTGAATTTCCAACTCCCGAACCTTCATTTTACAAAAACAACACGCAAGTGGGAAAAGAAAAGCCGTAAACGCCAAGAGGCATGTAGGCATGGCCAAAAAACGAGCCGATAGGCTCGGAATCATGGACCTTGAACCGACATGAACCTTAGAGGCATGCATATATTATCATTCACAGAAACTGAGAGAAAATAGGTGCGGGCCCACTACCATGAAATTTTCTAACACGCCCCCTGACTTGTGAGTCCTTCGAAAGCCCAAGCTCATATACAGAACTGGGTGCCCAAGCCCTACTAGAAGTAGGCTGGGCCCACTACCATGAAGTTTTCTAACACGCCACCTCACTTGTGAGTCCTTCGAAAGCCCAAGCCCATATACGGAGCTGGGTGCCCAAGCCCTACTAGAAGTAGGCTCCCATAACCGGGTACGTGGGGAAAAACGGGTACGTTATCGCACGGTAGAACCGGCTCCCATAAACGGGTACGTGGGAAAAAACAGGTACGTCATCGCAAGGTAGAACCGGCTCCCATAAACGGGTACGTGGGGAAAAACGGGTACGTCATCGCACGGTAGAACCGGCTCTAATACCATGACAGAAACTGGGGGAAAATGGGTGCGAAAAACGGGTACGTCATCGCACGGTAGAACCGGCTCTGATACCATGACAGAAACTGGAGGAAAATGGGTGCGAAAAACGGCTCTGATACCATGACAGAAACTGGAGGAAAATGGGTGCGAAAAACGGGTACGTCATCGCACGGTAGAACCGGCTCTGATACCATGACAAAAATTGGGGAAAAATGGGTGCAGGCCCACTACCATGAAGCGCACCATGGGAAATCGAGAAAAGCCCATATGAAGCCCAAATGGGGTTCCATCCCAAAACCAATTGGTGGAAGGAAGAGTAGTCCATTAGTCTTATAAGGTGGGTCTATTTTCTATATATGAACGATGTGGGACATGATATTCTAACAATCATTATAAATTTAAATAATAAAAATGAAAATTGTAATAAAAGTAAAAATTGATGTCGTCATGATTTCCCTTCCTTTTACACTGCAACCAACTTATTCAGCATAGCTTTCAACTCTTCGCTTTCATATTTGCCTATAAAACAAGACTTTTGCATGCAGGGACCACAACTTATTATTCTTCCAAATTCCAATGAGTAGAAAAATTAAGACTAAATGTAGCATGGTAACGTAAATAGACTATTGCAAGTGATTACTAATGTAATTAAAACTGTGGTTTGCTTGAAAAAGATACAAATCGATCCAAGACCACAAAACTCGAAAGATAACTCATCAAATTGGGGCATGAAAGATTCTTTTTCTCTATTTCACTATATACAGAATTAGGGGAGAGAGAAAGAAAAAGCGAAAATTCTCAAATTAACAGTGTATTAATGATGCTAAGTTTTTTATGTTAATTTTTAAGACTCATATTGATAGTTTTATGAAACTTAGGTCCCGAATTGGCGAATTAAGAAATTCTTCAAACCCGATTTGATAGTTAACTTATTTTTCGGGTTTTGGATTGAAAAAAGTCCAATGGAAAAATAATCGTTGCACATTGTTTTCTATACATACTATACTGCACTCCAAACAGGCAACAAACATTGACTTCAAAGCCGTCCGGGTCTTGTAATTGGTTCTACACTACAAAGTCTATGGAATGAACACCTTCCAAACAATTTCTGATCAGAGTTTTAAATGACGCCCGGTCAAAAGTATTACTTTGTCCTACCAATTTACTTACAAACGCAAACGTTTATCATTTACACAAATGAAGATGGAGAATAAGAATAATGCTTTCTTGATCATCTTCTCAGCTCTGCTAATAATACTCAGCACCACTTCCTTATCCCGCGCAAATGACCAAAACGCCCTTTTCCGATTCAAATCCGCCATCACCTCCGACCCTCACCGTCTCTTAACCACAAACTGGTCGACCGACACTTCCTTTTGCCAATGGATCGGCGTCCTTTGCGGCACCAAACACAATAACCGAGTCACGAGCCTCAACATTTCCGGTTTTGCCCTCCGAGGAACTCTCTCCCCACATCTCGGAAACTTGACGTTTTTACGACACTTAGACATTAGTTCCAATAACCTCACGGGGCCCATACCCGACGAGCTGTCTCGTCTGCGACGTTTAAGGTCAATAGATATTGGACTCAATTCGTTTGCCGGACAAATACCAACTTCGTTCGGAGCATTAACTCAACTCGAGATATTGCGTCTGAATAACAACACGTTCACGGGGAAAATCCCAGACGAGATCGGAAATTGTTCGTCACTACAAATATTGGATATGAGCTACAATCAGTTGACGGGCTCTATTCCGTATGGGATTTTCAACTTGTCATCTGTTATGTCAATTGATGTAAAGTCGAACCAATTGTCGGGTAGGCTTCCGAGTGATATGTGCGAAAATCTCCCGAACCTTAAGATGCTTTCACTCAGAGGAAATCAAATGGAGGGTCCGATTCCAACGAATATAGGCAAGTGCAGAGAGCTTCAGATCTTGTGGCTAACGCGTAACGGTTTTGAAGGTGAAATCCCTAGTGAAATTGCAAGCTTGAGAATGCTCGAGATTTTGTATCTGGGGTCTAACAAGTTTGAAGGTACATAGCTGTCGCATTCGGTCAGTGTTTTAACGTTAGATTATCTATCTTACACTAATCTGCATGCGTATCTAAAGACTAATAATAACCAGCAGGACAACATAGTTTGATGCTAAGACACAAACATATGTTGATGTTGAAATTTGCTTACAGGTCTAATACCAAAGAAAATTGGAGAGTGCACTTCGTTGAAGCAAATAACCATGTATGATAACCACTTGACAGGTAAATTAATCTTTACATATGCATGTTTGTGTGTGTTTGGGTGCTTGTTTAGTAGATGAGTAAGTCATTTACAACTTTGATGTTCCCAAAATACAAACTGATTGTCTTGCTTTAATATTTGATCGATTGTATTAATTGATTTGTGAGTAATTTTACAGGCGGCATACCCCAAGAGTTGTTCGGCTTGCAAGACCTGAGGGTTTTAGATGTGGGGTTTAACAAATTAGAAGGTACATAACTATATTCACACTGGACAAAACACGCACGCATAATTTGATGCTAATGAAAGATATGTTGGTGCTGAAATTACATACAGGTTGAATTTGAAGCAAGTACTATATATAAGTTTATTTGAGTAGATTTCACCTTATCTACAATCGCCGGATTTTTACAGTTTAATCAACACAGGACTAATTATTCATTATTACAAAATTATTTATGTAATTTTTTTTTTTTTGTTTNATTATATCATAAGCTAAGATGTAAATAGTTTTATTCGACAAATGTATAGTAAGTTGAGAAGATTTTGCATGAGTGAAATTTGATATAAATAAATACGATAAAACCAATTTAATATTTATTGTTCATCATTTAGTTTGTTCTTCACGATCAAATGTTTAATAAATTAATGTGTATGTACATATATTATTTACAATTTTCAAACTTCTTATTTATTTAACTAATATTGATGATAAGTTATTAATTAACTAATTGCATATAATTTAATTTGTTAAATTATATGCAATTATAATATTTTGACTAGTACAATACCCGTGTATTACACGGGTGTTGAATTAGAAAGCTTTTGTAAAAGAATATTAAATTTTTTATTTTTTAAAAACCAAAATAATTTAATTTTATATAAAACATTACTTTGGGTTTTAATTAAATTGTCAAATTATATTTTTTTAATCATAATAATTAAACACCCGTACATTAAATGAAAATGTCAACCCGTGTTGAATGTTTTTACTTATATTATATAAAAATATCGATATTATTTACTATTACATAAGTACAATATATATCTTAAATAAATAGAAATAATATGGTGATATGTATATGCATAAGTGTACAATATGTTTAGATGTCTAATACATCAAGTGTCGTATCAGTCGTGCTTCACAATTTTTTAACTTTATATGTAATTTTAGAATTCATATAAATAATTATTTATTTTTATTACATTGACAACATGTCAATTAGATTTGAAATAAATATCATTATTAAAAGAGTACATACCAATTTCTATTACTTTATAATATAATTTATGATTTTATTTATATAATTTAATTTAGTTTGATAAATAAATTTAAATTTTATTTATAAAGATATATATTATTGTTTTGTATTATATATATATATATATATATATATAGTAAAAATTAAACGGACTTCATAATATCAATTCAAATGCAACACACTAATTAGGATTTTTTTTTGACAATATTAACTCTATTTAATAGATGTTACGGGAAACGATAGAGATGCTAGAGATGCTAGGCTCTCGAGAAAGTTTCCCCGTACCCAATATTCCAAGGCCATGACCAAAAGCGGCAGAAGAATTCAAAGCGTGAAAGAGGAAATAGAAAAAAAAAGCCTGCCTAGCGTTGAGGCCATCTGGCTTTTTTTTTTTATAAGTTAGAATTATAAGAAAAGTAGGGTGACAGCCCAACTGGGGGAATTGTTAAGCAATAGCCGTAGAAAGTACATCTGAGATAGCATCTTACACAGAAGTCCTCCTCAAGACAACTGAGGACTAGATGTTCTGAACGGCTGAAAGGGCGCCGTTAGGCCACTAAAAGACGAAATGACACTGTGTATTAAATGGAGGGTTAAAAATAAAAAAAATGAACAAATATCTACAATGACATTTATTTTATCAATGATCAATTAAGCCAAAGTGACAAATAATAAAAATAGAAGGGAGTATATATTATATACTTTAGTATGGCACATGTTACTTGTGCGACTTATATGTGTTATATTATAATAAATTTTCTACCTTATAACATATAACTACATTAAACATAAATATATTAATTGATAAATAATTTTATTTTCTAATTAATTTTAATAAATAATTTTATTATTATTATTATAAAAATAAATATAATTTATTTATTTTATATATACAATATAGATGTCAAATCGAAGCTCATCAAAAGGTGAATAATTTGATATATTATATATGTAAAACCGATAAGAAATACAAAAGTTATCAACTTTTAAAATATATTTGCAATTCATTGGTTATAATAGGAAATGATATTAAAATACAATTAATACAAATATTAATTTATATCCAAACCTAACTCCAAAGCATGATTTTTTGCCAAATAAAATTCCGAAGCATGAAAGTTTGCCACGTAGGCTTGGTGCATTCTGAAATTATATATAGAAGGGGATTAGTTTTGATAACCAATAATTGACAAAATGTTTAGACTGATAGCCAGGGGCGGAGCCACCCTTGTGTTAGAGTGGGCTCCAGCCCCACGTTCATAAA